TATGCAACAGCTGGACAGCTCATTGACATCCTTTTCACAATTCCCCTCCCATCGTACGGAATCTCCCGTCCAAGCGGGGTTGACCTTCCCATTCGACCGCATCTCGTCCATCAACGGTTTGACAAATAAATCAGATATACTAACATCTGTGTCCTTCAGGAATCCCTTCAATTCATCCGAAGCCTGTGACAACTCGTTGCAAGCTTCGCCGAGAAGCAAGCGTCGAAGGCCTCTCCTGCATTCCATCTTCAGTCCGGCATCCGAAGTTTGTGTCATAGTGCTGGACAGCAACGCCAACCGCCCTTGCCAATCATTCCCCAAACAATGACCCACGGCCGCCAAATGTCCTTTTTGGTGATTACCCCGGACTATGCACCTCTTCAAAGGTTGATGAGCATTCTCGAACACCAGTTCCATAAAGTGACGTACATGCCCGAAGGCAGGAATTGTGTGGTTGTACAACTCGATTAACCTGTGCAGGTTCGGCTTGTCCAAGCTGGGGCGACCTTTACCCACTCCTTGGCAATAATTTGCGCAAAACTTGTCTGCCTCAGTCACATACTTCTCAGCCCTTTCCAGCAAGTCTGCATGGTATTGAGCTCCATTATCACTTGTCACATACACATAATCTGAGACACCATCCGCCTCTTCCGATGGCCACCAGTACGTCAACGCAATCAATTCCTGCAATTGCGTCAATAGATCCAACACAACAGTGGTTTCTTCACTCTGGATCCCCGGGAACAGTTGGTAGAAAACCGGAACGCACACGAGAAGGACACAGAACACACCGGACAGAGTCATGGAATTGAGTTCATTCTTGGAACTAAAAACTGATGATTGCCTCTTCAACCCATTGTCTCGGAGGGCTCCACATAATGCCATGTCAGCTTTTGCCCTGAACGCGGCCGCGTTTCCTTGTCGGTTAATCACGTGGAAGCCTACCTCGATAACGTTCTTCGCGAGACCGGCCAGCAAATGGTCAGGCGCGACGACGTTGCAGCGATATGCCTCAAAACGTCCTGACACCACACGCTTTCCATCGCTTGTTAACGGTATGTCAACGCGTACGCGCTCAAGTTCCCTTTGCAATGCAAGAAGAGGAGAACTTTCGTCACTAACCTTGTTGCTGTCTTTCATACCAAGCCGGTTTGTGTCTCGACTGTCAATTTCGCTGTTGCGAAGAGCTTCATGGCGTTCCATGCACCTCAAGGACGCCGTGCGGTGTGCATGGACTTTTGTTCTATAGCCGTATCCGCTCTCACCGACGCCGCTGTTCTTCCGAAATGTACAAAGAGTGCAGGGCGTATTTGCTGTATGTCCCATAACATCCAATGTTTCAGCGGCCGCTGGATAGTCAGCCACAAAACCCACCACGTCGACAAAGATTCTTACTCTCTCCCCGGTAGGCGTGTGTGCTTCCACACCTTCTGTTGTACACTTAACCAAGTCTGGAATGATTGAGAGCAGTATATTGTTCGTTGATACACCTGGAGGAGTTAATCCAATGATTCTGACAGACGATCGCGTGTTACGACTTCGCGGTGGTAGTCCAAGCGGGATCATGTAGCATCCACCTGCTGAACCCTGCGGATACAATGAAGAGAATGGGGAAAAGTCATCGCAGTATAGGAGAGCGCGATAGACCACGAACTTTGTTCCATCCATTAAGCGGCCGCTGTTTTGCATTCTTCTGTCAATGTTGCGGGTGCGTCCCGATATTTTGGGCTCTTGGAGGAGGAAAGGCAGCCCTTTCAAATGCTGAGTACCGAGCAGACGAAAGGGTTTGTCTGGAGTTCCATCGCCACCATCATTGAAACGCTGACCGGCCCCGTTTGTACTCATGTTTTGAAACCAAAACAAAGTGTCTGAGGTGAGACCTTCCTTGTGTTTCCAAAACCTAGAAACCAACATACACATTCTCGAGGTTGCCACTGCTTCACTTTCTGTAGGTCGAAGGAGGGTACAAATATCCCCAGGCAACACCTTCTTCGAAGAACGAGCCCTTGCTTCAAAATCTATCCTTCCATCTCTACGCCTCACAGATCTATTATACTTTTCCAATGGCGGTGCTGTACAAAACTGCCTGGCCAGGCAATTCTCCACGCCACGGAGAACCTTCATCGCCATGTTGGCGCTTCTTGTAACATTTCCCTCACTTCCCACGCACCACACGGCTGAAATTATACACTTCATTACAAAGTTATTCTCTGCGTTCTCATGAACACGATAGCCCAGATTGCGCACGTCAAGTGACAAACGTGATGGAAGCAGTTTTGACAGTTCCAGTCGAATCACGGCACCCGGGAACGCCTGCACAGTACATGAACCACTGTGGACGTAAAGTGCTGTCGTAGCTTCCGATATTATCTGCCGCTCTGCAACCAGCTTCGAGCTTTCTATGCATTCTGCGTCCGCCACACCACCATGCCATCGACTGGATTTTGGATACATTGAGTTGAAGAACGGAGCCATCATGATGTCCACTTTCGCCCATTCACTTGGTGGAACAATACGAACAGGAGTTTTAGACCCGTTCGAATATTGCGATGCGGTCTCCTCGTTACCCCCCAAATTTTCAACCAATGACGTTCGGTTGAATGCCTTCTTCTTTCGTCGGACGACAAAGTACTTGAGGTCACTCTTGGGAAAAAGATACTTCAAAGCATGCGGAAAGAGAGTCCTCTGCACGGTGGAATAAGATGGGAACTTAATAGAAGGAGAAACCCAAGACAGTATATCTCTCAGGAGGTTATACTGTTTGACCGTATAGCGGACGCTACCGCAAACTATTACGAAGCCCAAAAGGTTGTACCATGGTTCGAAAAGCTTCCGAGACGATAGAAATATTCGCAAAACTTTCTGGCTGTCCAGCCTGCTTCCCATTTCGGGATCGTCACTTGATAAACTCGGAAGGCACTCCATCCCCTCACAGCTCTCTTGATAAATACTTGGAACAATGATATTGTCATTTCCCACTAAAACGCCGTTTGGATCGCTCTCGGGAGCGAATTGTTCCGAGTCGCCAAGTTCTGGGAAGTGGCCCTCATCATAGTCGACAAGATCTATTCCTTCTTCGACGACAACCGTTTCTCGATGTTCCGAGCCCTTTATCTTCGATCTAGTACCATGATCTCCAGTCTGATTGTTCGACGAAGCGTGCCCATTCAACACTCCCAAAATATCAGCCGCTTCGCCAGTTTCCGGAAGCTCGAGAGCTGGGGTTTCTTCTGCTTCCATAAGTGCGGCCGCATCTGCATCCCCATCGAGATCGCATCCTGGTCGTGTATGAACGTCATGGAACAGGGCTGCCAGGTCTGGCAAGTTAGGGACGTTGTCCATCCATGTAGTGCCCATCGTACGACGTCTCTTTCTTCGACCTGACATATGAGGAACGGTGGTGCTGTCGTCCGATATTTTCGTGTGGATTATGGTGTTGGAAGAAGTGAGAGTGTAGGATGTTGTTGAAGGAACAGTGCGCAGGGGTCCCCAGGCCTGGCGGTTTAGATTTTGCACACCAAATAATTACATTACAAGTGGCGGTCTGCTAGTGTCTATCCGACCGTGAGGACAAAATTTGAGGACAAAGGGATTTTTCTTCGAACTCCTTGCTTGTTTTTTAGTTCTGATTTGAGTACTGGGTACTCCACATAGCCCTTGACACAATCAGCACAAATCGTTTGTTGTGGAGACAAGTTCTACCTCTAAAAGTGAAGCAGAACCTGGAAATCTTCACTGTAAGCAGTTTTTCTTTGTAGTACGAAGTTGAAAATGGCTTCTTCGTGATTTACAAGGTATTTCATTGACAACCCCACCGTTCAAGTGCAATATGGCTGTCTTGAAGTATTCTTTCAGAAGAATTCGTGTCGGCTAAATGATGAAAAATTATTAAATTTGTCGGATCTGTTGAGGTATGATAAGCTTGGTCAGTCGGATACACACTACAGTACAGGGTATTAACTCTGCCTTTCTCTGTCCACCGTTGTTTACTCCGGTATCCCCCAACCTCCTCTTTCTTTCCCCTCACTAATCCACCATGACCACTGCCCTCGCATCTCCTTCCGTCCTTCTCTGCTTCTGTCTTTCTCTGCGCCCTCTCACGCAAGCCACGCTCTCGCTGTCGCACCGGCCCCACCCCTCGCATGCGCTTTCTGAACGATTCCAGCCACTATCAACTCTCGTGGCGATCTCAATTGAATAACACACTCTCTCAGGACTGCGATGGCAGAGAAAGACACCGGCGACAAGCCGCCTACAGAAAGAAAGAACACGTACAAGGAGGTTGACCTTTCTTGGAGCGATGCGAGGGCGAAGCTTGCGGAGTTGATGGGAACGATGAGCGTTGCCGGCGTCGATGGCAAGCCTGCCGAAAAAGAATATAAATTTTGGAAAACACAACCGATCCCCCAGATGGGACAGGACGATCAACTCGACCTGCTTGGTGATCATGGTGAGGCCATTGAGACTAAAACGGTTGACCAGGTATCGAAAAAACCTTACAACCTGATTGACTCTTTCGAGTGGTCAGACATAGATGTCACCGATGACAAGCAACTCGAAGAAGCGTATCGTCTTTTGAATGAAAACTACGTTGAGGACGGAGATGCCATGTTCCGCTTTGATTATTCCCGGGAGTTTTTGAGGTGGGCTTTGCTTCCACCCGGATAGCATCCAACTTGGCATGTGGGCGTCCGTGTCAAGTCCAATAAGAAACTCGTAGCCTTTATTACGGCTGTCCCAGCGACCTTGCGTGTTCACATGGATTCCGTGAAAGTGGTAGAGACCAACTTTCTTTGTGTCCACAAAAAACTTAGAGCGAGGCGACTCGCTCCGATACGAGAGATAACACGACAGGTTAGCTTGCAGAACGTCTGGCAGGCGGTATACACGGCTGGGTCCATCCTTCCGCGACCCGTCACGTCATCACGATACTACCATCGCTCGCTAAACCCCAAAAAGCTTATCGAAATCGGGTCACATCCGCTAATCTCCTCTCCGACTTAAAAGACGGAAACCGTAGCCATAAATACCTCATCCTCCACTCTTGTTCGACTACGGTACAACAACTCATCATGGTCCTCAGAAGAATCCTCACTGTGGTCTTCAGAAGCAGGGTCTGCGCTACTACTAGATGCCTCCTTCAAATTTGCGTCACCATCAGACTTCTCCTCCTCTGAGTCAGCCTTCTCCTCCTCGGGGTACTCTTCCACTATAGGCGCACTCGGATCCACGCCAACACTCTCACCAATCCACTTGTACATTCTGTCTGCGTAGCTCTTGTAGTCACTGTCCCGCATTACATATCCGGATGCAACTAGCGCAGTGTCGTACACAAGATGCCCAAGCTCGGCTGCCCTTTCATCGTCCTCTCCGCTTTCTACAAGGCGAAGCATCTCTTTTGTGATCGGGTGGTGTGCATTAAGCTCCATAATCTTACTCTTTGGCGTCATGTATCCGAAACTGTCGGGGTCCGCGAATGCTTGCGCTCTCATAATTATTTCCATTCTCGCCGAATAACCGTACTGGTCCGATGCCAACACACACACTGTATCACTGAGCCGGTTTGATAGTCTCACCTTGGAGACCTTGTCTCCCAACTTCTTTTTCAGGAATTTCGTCAGCGGCTTGTACATTTTCTTCAGAGCCTTGTTCTTCTCCTTCTCTTCTTTTTGATCTTTCTCACCAAATTTGAAGTTGTCTTTCGAAATTGACATGAACTTCGTGCCTTCGTAGTCAAGCAACTGGGTGATCATGTTCTCGTCAATGGCCTGTGTCAAATAGAGAACCTCATACCCTTTTTTGATCAGTTTCTCGAGGAATGGACTATCCTTGACGGATTCGAGATCTGCACCAGAGTGATAATAGATCTGATCTTGATCTTCCTTCATGCGCTCCATGTATTGATCGAGAGATGCCCAATCATTGGGGTCTTGTTGTCAGTTTTCGAAGTGCGGAAGCGGAGGAGCTTCGCAAGTCGAGCTCTGTTTGCGCTATCTTCAATGAAACCGAGCTTAATGCTCTTACCAAACTTATTCCAAAATTGGATGCAGGGCTTGGCCTTCTTCTCGTTCGTCTTTTCATCACTCGACTCGTCTGATTCTTCTTCTGCCTCGTGCTCCTCATCGTCATTCTTCATGATCCCCTTGATCATTTCCAGAGCTTTCCGGACCAATTTGCGCTTGATGACGTTCATAATCTGAAACTGTGTTGCAGGGGAAAATCGTTTCTAGAAACGCGTTAGTAATGCAGGCTGCATGGTTGGAACACGTTCCAACCGTGCAATTTTAGAACAGAGAGACTCGTCCCTCCTATGTGAGACTAATCGCAGTTGTGGACACTTCACTAAACTTGTTGTTGGCAGTGTAGTCGTAGACACCTGCCAAACATCCCTCCACATCCGAACCAAGACATGCTCCTGATTTTATGCCTGCGCGGAAGTCACTCTCATATGAAGGCGTCCACGTGTTCCGCCTCTCGCCTTAGCTGCCTCTCAACTTGGAAATCAGACTCCCGCTTGACGCTTTCGCGGGTAGATAAATTATAACCGTTCTTGTGACACTATGCCGCGCGTTAGTCAGAGAGAGATAGATGGGCGAAGCATTAAGATGAAAGAGCTATGGTTCGAGCAACCGAAAGTATCTGAAACCTCAAAGCAAAGAATTTCATTATCGTCTTGGACGTGACTTCAAAGCAGTGATGCGGCTGGTCTTGTGTCCGCAAAAGTTGTACAGACTTGCAAAACTATGATATTTTCGTTACAATTCTCCAGGGTAAGTAGAGCCGCTACGGACGTAATCGAAAATCTTCCATAACAACAGGTCCTGTAGTCGGTACGAACCAATTCGGTGCAGCAGACGCAACGGAGCCATGGCCGAGCTTGCCAACAGTGGTTTGACCGTGGTTGTGAAGCACGAAACCCGCACACCACTGACTATGAGGTCTCCATTCAAGGAATGGGGATTGAAAAGCCCTCTGCCTGTCACACTAGACACTTGTACCACGCGTTTCGGCAACCAATCTGCCCCGATGAGAAAGTCACCGACGGCAATATCGGCGGCCTTGAGGAGCATCGGCATAGAATCCTGTCCTCGGCGATACACGTAATGTCCAGGTGACACACGCAAGTTTCCTGTTTTCTCACTGTCAGCATATTGAACGTGCACAAAACTCGCCACGGCATGCGGATCCGCGTGTGAGTGCATGAAGATTTCACTCGGCGTTTCTAGGTCGGTTGAAGCTACAGCATCATTCCGCGATATGCTTTCTATAGGTTGGCGACTCCCATCGGCCATAGTAACTAGCTCTCCGGCCGGGAAACACGCTCTCATCGACTCTTGGGACTCCTTAAAATCGTCGCTTCTGATATTCACTTCACCATACTGCTCCAGCTTCCCCGTAACTTGGGTGATTTCCATTGGTGGATCAGCCTCTGTATATTCTTCGACAAAGTACTCTGTGTCATTGTACCGACCTGATATCCATCCGACAAGGGCGCGAGAATCGATTCTGACAAACTCGCTAGCCTCATCCGTTTCGTTGCACATGTCCCTGCTATGTATGCCAACAAACCATCCGGGGCTCGGAACAAGTTGGGCAATACAGCTGATGAGTGAAAAGTCTGCTGAGATCTTAAGAATGAGATCTTCAGACTCGTCGTTTACCACCATATCCCTGATTGAGCCATTGTAGCTTAAGATATTGTCTTTGTCGGGTTCGATCTCATTCCGAAGTTTCTCATCAGAATTGTCGTCGTCCTGGTCAACAAATTTTTGGATAGCGGGAGAGGCAGTTCTTTGCGGTGTCCACATGACGAACTTGTCGCTGTGAGAGGCGCAATGCATGAGTCCAAACCCGACGGGTTCCTCGGGGGGTTGGCCGGGATCATTCTGAAGAGTCCATTCGTAGGTAAACGAGACTGTGTAATTAATGGTCCCCTTGCACTTAGCAGCGGCAGCTACGAAAAGGTGGTGTATGTAAAAGATGACAAGCAAGGTGACGTATGAATGACGAAAGGCACGGGTCGAAATGGCAGTGATCTCTCGACGCTGTGCAATTTGGTTCCCGAGTATTCAACTAAATCCCCGGGATATGCAGCAGCCGCGCTTTATGCAATTTCAGATCTGGTATGTCGACATGTCGATTGCCATGCAGAACATGTGCAAATAAATGCAACAGGGAAGAGTGAACACGAGAGCCTTTCAGTTTTTGATGAGAGCAAGTGGGTGGTGACTTTCCCCGTCGTCAGTGCGATCGTTCGCGGGACCGGTGCTGATGAGCTCATTCTTGCAGCCGCACATTGCCTGGGAATTCTAGTTGTTCATGCTCCACTGCACAAGATCGGTGAGGCTAGTTCAGTTTTAGTGCAGACCATTTGGCATCCAACAAGTTCGCGGTGCTTGGGGATCAGTTCCGCGACTTTTGCGTGTAAAGTGCGTCCTGTGTGTTTGTAAAAAGTCGTCCGCATGTGTACAGCATAACCGAAAATGCGCTTCTCGTTAGTCCATCGGTGTCAGCGTCGCATTTGATGTGTCGAGGCCCTCGGCCTCTATGCGTGCCTTTCGCGCGCGCTCCTTGCGCTGCTCGGGGGATTCAGACGACTCGGAGGATTCGGGGATGTGAGGGAGCTGGGATGGGAGGTGGGTCTGCTCCTCCTTTGCGACGCAGATGGAGGGGCGCCGCACGACGGCGCGATGCGGGCGCCGGAGTCATCGTTTTTGATCTGCTCATCGTTTGCGTACAGATGTTGGCGGAGAAAAGTTTGCCTGGAGACAAAAGTTGTAGTACAGCTCTGTGCCTTCGCTTTTTGTGTGGACAAAAGTATTGCGTTCACCGTAGATTGCTCCGACGCCGCTATGTGGAAGGCGAGATAGGAAAAAAAATCCTAGTCAATCAAAATTGATGGGCTTGCGCATCACGCAAATTTAGTACCGCTGGAGGGTACTTGTAGTTGAGCCCGTGCCGCACACTTCTCCCGGCCCCCCGCCCGTGCCGACCTTCCACCTTCCACCTTCCCAACTAAAACATCACACATTCTCACCCTTCCCTACGACGACTACTCCGGCTCCCCGCCCGTGCCGACCTTCCACCTTCCACCTTCCCAACTCAAACATCACACATTCTCACCCTTCCCTACGACGATTACTCCGGCTCCCCGCCCGCGCCGACCTTCCACCTTCCACCTTCCCAACTCAAACATCACACAGTGTGCACACTCCTCCCGGCTCCCCGCCCGTGCCGACCTTCCACCTTCCACCTTCCCAACTCAAACATCTCACAGTGTGCACACTCCTGCCGGCTCCCCGCCCGTGCCGACCTTCCACCTTCCCAACTCAAACATCACACATTCTCAGCCTTCCCCACGACGACTCCTCCCGGCTCCCCGTCCGTGCCGACCTTCCACCTTCCACCCCCCCGTGCCGACCTTCCACCTTCCACCCCCCCCGTGCCGACCTTCAACCTTCCACCTTCCTAACTCAAACATCACACATTCTCAGCCTTCCCTACGACGACTGATCCTGACCCAAACGCATCACTCCCACCCCAGTTGCAACTCCATTTCCGACCCCTCATCCCCCCCCCGTTTATTGGAAACTTGGAAACACCTGCCATGTCTGCGCCTTCTGCAGTACCTTTCGTAGTTGACCTCACAACTGGACAGCCGTCCTCACCAGCACCCCAGTCACCGCAGTCGCCAACGGACCACACACTACCACGCACCCCACTTCCTGACTCCGAACACTCACAACCCACCGGCGGCGTTGTAACACCACGGTGCACAGCACCGCTTGTTGACTTTTGTCTCCATGGGGGCCTCGTTGTGTCCAGAGGTAATACGGTACAGGATAAAAATCCTGTGCTTCCTACATTTGATTCGACATGGGCAGGCCTGCCTTGTGTACAGTCACGGACAGACCGTGCATTGTGCACGAATGTGAGGGATGGCCCCGAGCCCATGAGGTTGGATATTGGAAGGATGAGGGGCCGGCACAACTGGCACTCGGTTCCCGTTCAGGATTTGAGTTTTCGGAAGTATGTGCTGCAGCACACAGTGCACCAGAAAGGAGATGTGAAGCGGTTCCGTCAGCTCGCGATGCAGGATAATGCATCGGCCATGGAAGGGTGGAGTCAGTTTGCTGCCAATAGCAACTATTGGGAGGTGCCCAGTACATTGACGTGCGGCCGCACTTTCGCCAGAGATGTACTCGATTGTTATTATCTTGACGAAATGGACTACGTGTTGCAGTCCCGTCATACATTACGTCGCCACAAGTTCCCTCTTTTCGCTGATCCATTGATGGGGCGTTGGTGGAATGCTTTCAAGCACAGAGCAAACTTCTCATACGAGCGCTATACGAGGAATCGCTATGGACTGCTTATACCTTTCGACTGTTACGAGACCATGTACTTTGACGATGCTTCGTATAAAGAGGTGTTTCCCCAATGCCCACAGTGGCTGCAAGCTCTGAAGTTCCCTGAGGGAGTTCCGCTACCACTGCCGCCGGTCATCTACTACTACCATGAAGAAATGGTCGTAAGGGAGGGAGGCGTGATGTCAGAAAGATGTCGCAGGCTTTGGCAAATGTTTCGCATGGAGATATGCACCATGTTTTGTGCGTTTTGGTTCAACGAGGCAACAAGGGACGGCCGCCTATTCTTGATGGACAAGGGTACCATTACAGTGCTGAAGGACGTATGCAAGGATGTGAAGTGGGTGAATGGGAGCCAGATGCTCTTTCCTCTCATGGAGTTTGTGCATAAGCTGCCACGTCATCTGGAATGCTATATGGTGAGCACAAATCCGCATCTATCTAACTGCGTGTACTTCCACGCGTTGCATGGAACGGGAGAGGCGGATATGAGGAGGGCAGGAGGAGAAGTGCGATACCTTTCTTTCAAA